TATATATTTTAAATAATTTTTTTCTATTAAGTTTATTGGTACATTTTAGGTATACAATACAGTTATATTAATCATGGAGGCTTTTTATAGAACTCCTCCATAGTTTTCACAAAATGTATGGGTTTCCTTGGCATAAGCAAAGATAACTGAGAAAGTATTAAAATTTCCCCAACCCCCCAAAAAAATAAATAAAAATAAAAAAGGATACAAAAGACAAATTAATTTCAGGACAGTAAAATAAAATTACATGGAGTATCACTCATATGGTAGTATTTCAATCATTTCATTAAAGAGTATGTGACAATGACTTTAACTTGAAAAATGAAGTTAGCATTTTTTATGCATTTTTGTTCTTTTCCTTCAGGTTTTATTTTTATTATTACATATTTGCAGTACATAATGAGTACACTCCTTGTGGAGATTTAATACATGTACACAAACGATCTCAGTGTTTCTGTCATTGCTTTCCTTGCCCCTACTTCGTCCTTTTTTTGTTTGTTTGTTTGGTACCAGGGATCGAACTCAGGTCCTTGTTCTTGCAAGGCAGGTAGCAGCACCACTGAGCTAAATCCCTAGCCCCTCTCCTTCCTCCTTCTATCTCTTGATTTCTTTCCAAACTTTAAATGTAAACTTTCCTCACTACATCAGTTATCCACCTTTTATTTTGATCTTTATTTGTATTTTGGGTTCCTCATATAAAAGTAAACATTTTGATATTTAAGTTTGTGTGTCTGATTTATTTCACTTAACATTTTGGTGTCAAGATGTTTTCATTTTCCTATAAATTATTTGTTTATCCTTCATGTCACAGTAATACAGTACTCCACTGTGTATAAATACCACATTTTCTTTATCCATTCATTTGTTGATGGAAATATAGGCAGCTTCCAAGATTTAGATATTATGAACTGTTCTTCTATAAACATGTGTATGCGTGTATCACAGGAATATGATGTCTTTAACAGTTTCTGGAAGAGACCTACAAGTGAAATACCTTTGTCAAATGGATTTTCTAGTTTTAGTTTTTTTGGGAAACTCTATATTATTTTCCATAGACTTTGTATTAGTTTACATTTCCACCAACAGTGTAAGGGGGCTCCTTGTTCCCCCAAAGCCTCAAAGCATTTGTTATTATTTGATTTTTTTGATGATAGCCATTCTTTCTGGAGTAAGATAAAATCTCAGTTGCGTTTCTGTAATGACCACCTATGTTGAGCACATTTTTGTGTATTATTGATTGTACTTCTTGGAAGTAATTATTCATTTCAGCTAACTATTTTCTGATTGGGTCTTTTACTTTGGGGGATCTAATTTTTCTGAGTTATTTACATAGTCATGATATTAGTACTCTGAGAAGTAGCCTGTAAATGTATATTTTCCCAATTCTTTAGTCTATCTCTTCACTCTTTTGGTTATTTCCTTTGCTGTGCAGAAGCTTTTCAAGTGGACATTATCCCGTTTGTTGATTCATGGTGCTATTTCTTGTGCCATGTCGGGGTTTGTATTCAGAACCTATGTCTATGTCTTCAAGAGTTTTACATTCCACCAGATTAAGTGTTTTAACATTTAGATATTTTAGCTAGTTTGATTTTAGTTTGTTTAGTACATGGTGAAAAATATGGGTCTAAGCTTGATTGTCTGCATGGAATAGCCAATTTTCCTAGCGTGACTTATTAAAGAGGTCGTGTTTTTATCAGTGTATGTTTTTTTCACCTTTTGTCAAAGATCAAATAGCTGAATTCCCTGGGGGTATTTCTGCATCCTCTATTCTGTTCCATTGAGCTACATGTAGATTTTTGTGCTGGGATCATTTTTTTTTTTCACTGTAGCATTGTAATATCACTTAAAATTTGTAATTTTGTTGTCTCCTGCTTTGCTTTTGTTATCCATGAGTGCTTTTACTATTCTGGGTTTCTTCTAGTTCCATGTGAATTTTAGAATTGTATTCTTTTTTTCTATGAGGAATTGATGCTGGTATTTTGATTGGTAATCTGTGTATATCAGTTTTGAAAGTGTAGTCATTGTTACTATATTGGTACTACCTATCCAGGAACAAGGAATATTTTTCCTTTTTCTGATATCTTCTTTGGTCTTTTTCAGAGTTCTGTAGTTTTTGTTGTAAAAGTCTTTCTCTTCCTTTGTTGGGTTGATCCCTATGTATTTCATTTTTCTTGATGATATTGAATGGGGATGTTTTCCTAATTTCTTTCTCAGTGGGTTCATTATTGGTGTGCAGAAATGCTACTGGTTTTTGTCTGTTGTTTTTGCATCTTACTATGTTGCTTCATTTAGTTGCTAATTTTAGGAGTCTTATGGTGGAAATTTTTTGAATCTTTTATTAGAAGATCATGTCATCTGCAATAATGTTAATTTGACTTCTTTCTTTCCTATGTGTAACCTTTCATTTCTTTCTCTTGCTTAATTGCTCAGACCATTGTTTCAAGCATTATGTTGAAAAGGAATGGTGACAGTGTATATCCTTGTCTGGTCTTGATTTTGTAGGTTCTTGATTTTATAGTTTTTCCCCATTTAAAATGATGTTGGCAAGTTTGTTATAAATACCTTTTTATCAGTTTAAGATAATGTCCTTTTCTGCCTGTTTTCTTTGAGGTTTTGTCATGAATAGATGTTGGATTTTGTCGAAGGCATTTTTTGTGTCGAGGTGATTATGCAATTTTTGTCCTGGCTTCTGTTTATGTTATGTTTTACGTTTGTGAAGTTGCTTGGAATTGGGATATACTATCTCTCAAGAATAATTTTGGGGATATTCATTCCCATTTAAAGGGTTTAAGGAGAATTGGTCTTAGATCTTCCCTAAAGTTCTTATAGAATTCATAACTTCCCTAAATTTCTTATAGAATTTGAAATTCTATAATTCTTATAGAATTAGATGGACGTGGCTTTTCTTAGTTGGTAGATTTTTATTACTACTTCAATTTTATTGGCTGTTACTACACTGTTCAGAATTTTTATATCTTATTTGTTCCATTCCAGTGATTCACATGTATCTCAGAATCTATCAATTTCTTCTGAGTTTTCCAAATTTTTGATGCCTAGTTTTGGAAAGTAGTTGCTAATAATCTTATAGATTTCAGCAGTTTTTGACATGATTTCACTTTTTTATTTCTAATTGAATTGATCTAGGTCTTTTATTTCCTTTTTGGTAAGTTTGTCTAAGGGTTTTTCTGTTTTGTTTATTCTTTCAAAGAACCAGCTTTTCAATTCATAGATCTCTGAGTGGTCATTTTAGTCTCAATTTAATACATTTCTGCTACTTGTACTAGCTTTGAATTAGATTGTTCCTGGTTTTCTACAAACTTAAGCAACATTATTAATTTATTTATTTGGGCTCATTCTGTTTTTCAGATACATATATTCACAGCCATCAATTTCCCTCTTAGCAGTACTTTTGTTGTGTCCCATAAGTTCTGGTATGTTGTCCTGGCATTGGTAATTCTAGGAACTATCTTATTTTTTCTTGATTTCTTTTGTGACCCACTGAATATCCAATTATTTATTATTTAATTTCCATGCATTTGCATGATTTCTTTAGTTTGTTTTGTCATTGATTTTTATAAGGTATGGAATTGTCACAAACAGAGGTGGAAATGTTGATTACCCTTGGAAAAGTCAGACTTCTGATAAATAAACTTTCTTATAATTCATGGATAGCCATTAAAATGAGTCAGCCATATATGATGAAAAGAACAAGACAGAAAGAGTCTGTTGATATGGTAGAAGTGACAGGTGACAAAGGGCCTTGGGGAGTTGGAGGAGATAACATACAGGCTGCACTACAGAATATGGGCTGTAAAATATTGTTATTTCATTTGAAATTGAGGCATTTCCAATTTTCAAGCATGTAAGATAGATAACTCCTATCCTTATGCCTTAATGCCTCCATTCGTAAAATTTGAATGATAATTTAAAAAACATATCTTTAGAGTTATTACCACATTTACATGAGATGTTAAATGAAATGAACTTAGGTATGTTAGTGGGTATATAAAAATGGGTGCAAATGTAAGAGAGGTTTGGATTCATAGTTGCCCAATATTTCTGTAATTAATAAAGACCAAATATTCACATAATCACAAACATTCTCACTGGACAATTTCCTCTATCATTGAAACAAATTTGGCTGCTCTACTTTTCAAATTTGTATGAGGCATCACATTTTATCAATAAATGGGTGGTAGCTAATAACATAAAGATGGAAGACCTTTCAAGAAAACAATAGTTATGGAGTAAGGAGAAGTGAGCGGATGCTGGCAGCTATGGAGAGTGCCAACATTAGGGAGCAGACAGGAAGAAAGGAACTGAAGATAGAGTAGAAAGAAATACGACAGAGTGTTTGGCATCTTAGACATTAAACATACCTCATAAAGAATTGTATGCATTCATCACGATTGAAGAATTCTCTCTTCCAATTGTCTTTATCTGAAACTAAATAGGTCATGGTGCTGTTGTTAGGTTGTCCTTGCGTATTCAATGCCTCACTATGTGTTAAATGATAATTAGTAATGTAATATGTTAAAGAAATGTGGCATGTTTTGTCCTGAACTTGACATACAGACTTTGTAAATTTAAAGATTAAAGGAAGCGTACTTTTGTCTAAAAAAATCTTTCCTAGGAGCCAGGCGTGGTAGCGCATGCCTGTAATCGCAGCACTTAGGAGGCTGAGGCAGGAGGATCACTGTGAGTTCGAGACCAGCCTGGACTACATAGTGAGTTCCAGCTCAGTCTCAGCTACATAGTGAGACCCTGTCTCAAAAAAAAAAAAATTTCCTGTGTGCAAAAATAAAACATAGAAGAATAACAGCTAGTCTAAATTACAAGTGTACATAGAACTAAATTATATTCATTAATGCTCATGAAATAAACTGAAAAGCCTACTCAGCCTGATTTATGGCTACGTATGGTCATATGAACAGTTGGTAACAAAAAGAGTAAACAAAATTATGCATTTAAACTCTGGATTATACACTTTGAATTGCTTGCTGTCCATTTTTATTCCAGTATATCAGGATGAAGACACATGTTTGCCACACTGAGAATAGCAGCTCTGAGGATAAGGGGAAATTCCAGATGTCCCTAGGTGGATAACGTTTTCCTACATCTTAATCTGGTCATCATATAAGTAGTACAGCTCTTTCTTCTTCTTCTTTCTTGGAAATGGGCCTGGAAAGACAAAAGAAAATGTTCCTTAATTTTGCTGATCACTCCCCAAGAAAAGACAGTGTTTTCCAGCCTTGCTTATTAAGCATGTTTAATTCAGGAGCTCAGTACTAGGAAATACATCTATACAAAGGAATTACACCATTACACAAATATTACCTTAATCTATTATCAAAATGGTAATTTGACTGTTATTTTCCTTACTGTGAACTTTTTTCTTAATAAGTTGGAAATTTCAATATGCAAAGGGGGAATTCTTTATAAACATAAATTCGTCCTTTATAAACATGGAGTTGAATGAGCTTAGTAGTACCTCAATATTTGACAAAAATGAAATTAGAAGGGCTCTCTGCTAATCAGCAGAATTTTTAAAAACTTTTTTGGAATGTTGACTAATGCTAGACAAGAAAATGAAACAGTTTGAAGAATAAATGTCACAATTTGAACATAATTCTTTTTTTTCAGCTTTAATTGAGTTTATTGGTACATTTTAGGGATACAGTACAGTTACATTCATTGTTGGGATCTTGTACCTCTACATGACAAGTCTTGATTCTCATTTTTCCCCTTCTTCCTGCCCTCCCTTCACCCCCTCCTCCCCTCCCCATCTACAAAGACTTTATTTTCATCTTTTCATTTTCTCACATTTTTTTCTTTTCCCTTTTTACTCTTCCCCTACCCATCCCACCTTTCCTACACCTTTAGCTCCTTTCTTCCCATTTCTAAATGTCAGTAATCTTATTAGGATCTTATGTATTATTGCAGATTATTCACACCAGAGAAAGTATTCGGTATTTACACATGTGAGCCTTATTTATTTGAACATAATTCTTTATGGAATTATTTAAAATCATATATTGAATAAATATACAAATGCCTAGACTACATATATGCATCTGTGTAACTATCAATATATCATGCATAGTAATATTATTCATGAATATTTATACATGTAATAAGTTTGTCCCTCAATATTTCCTTTTGAAAATTTGAGGTGCAAAATTTGTCAAGTGCAACTATTTCTGTCTATAAGGAATATTTCTCTTTCCCTTGAAAGAGTAGTTCATTTGAAAAAATAACAAAATGTGAATCATACAGTGAAATTGTCAGTGAGTA